GTCTGCGGCTTCCTGCACTACACCCTCCCCGAGGGCCGGCCCTTCCAGCTGAGCTGCCTGACCTCAGACCTCGTGGGCAACGGGAGCCAGACCTACAGCTACACCTGGAGCTTTGCCCCGGGCCTCATCACCGCGAAGGACGTCCTGTTCAGGCCTTTCAGGAACCCCCGGCCTGTTGTCAGGTTTTCCCCTACCAAGGAGTCGGATGCAGGGACTTACCGATGCGAAGTGCAGCTGGTGAAGACATTCAAAGTTGTCAAGAGGGTCTACTTTGCAATCAGAGTGATCCACAAGGATTTGGTGGATCTGAACTTCCAGAAATTCCTGACTTGGGAACAGAAGTTAGCAGCAAGCGAGGTGGAAGAGAACCTAGAAACGGGCGTCTATGAAGTGCAAGAAGAGGAGCCCTTTTGGCGAGGAGAATTGTTCTATCAGTGCTTGGTAGGAATTGGCAGCGGGGTGACAGGGGGTGTCTTGCTGAGCGTGGTGCTCCACCACTTGCAGAAGATTTGGAGAAGAAGGAGAGCTGCAAAGCAAGGAGCTGAGATTTAACGTCATTTCTTGTCTGTCTCTTTCTTGATGCAGTGTTTCATGGTGGTGGTTGTCGCTTTTCTGGCTGACACTGTTTGTTCCCAAATATTTTCTGAAGTTTCAGAGTAATTTACCAGGTAATTTAGTACATGGCCATAGAACCAGAGCTTCATGGAGTGATGCAGGCGGAGCTCCAGATGGGGAAGGCAGTTTGCCTCTATGTTGTGTGAAAGGTTGGACTCCAGTGTGTGAAAGGAATGGTCCAGAAGGAGGTAGAGGACGCTGAGCCGCAGAACTGCCTTGCTGTGTTCCTCTAACAGGCCTTTATTTTACTTCTGTGTGTTTAGGGGGGGTTATTTAGCTAATAACTTGTGATCCTTATTCCTGTCTTCCTTCCTCAGATTTCCTCTGCCTTGCTGATTGCTCCGTGGTGCCAGGAGCCGACTCAGGGTGCTCTGTGGTAGATGGTGTTTCTCCAGCAAGAGGGGCAAAGAAGTAAGGATGCTTTCGAGGCAGCGTTCCAAACCAGGTTTCCTGGCTCTCTGGTGTCCTTCCCACCAGCTCCAAGGTCTCAGTAGCTGTGGGGCAGTGTGGGGACAAGCAGCGGGTGCCTGATGCCTTAAGAGATATTTATCTCCTTCCACTAGAGCCTGGAAAACGATGAAGTATGTTCAAGCAGTAGCTTGGAGCTTGCCCTGGCCCTTTGTAGTGTAGAAGAGCGAGGCAGGGAGCACTGGGGAGCACGGTCAAATGTGCTGCTTAGGAACATAACGGGGTGGTTTTAATCATGACTCAGAGCTGAGCTCGTTCCTGAGGGGGAGGAAGGGAGGAGTTCAGTGGGCTGTGGAGCTTTCGTTTTGCCTGGTGATTAATAAGTACAAACCATGCAGCATCTCCATAGGCAGTATTGTTGCCCTCTTCGTAGCAGAATTCACAGAGGGACCCATTAAGTGCCTTCTCTTTCTACTTTGTCTCTTATTTTACAGCAAACAACTATATTTACTCAGTCTATTTCCTTTCTTCTTTGCCTGTGAACTGAAGAACAGGAATGCACAGCACAAAACATTCAAGGTTGAAGCAAGGGAGGTACATGTACAGTGAGGGAGGTGGGGAGTGTATCAGGTCAGTGGGCTGTGGACCTTGTCTAGCTGTATCCAAATGGAGGAGCAAGCCTGTCATCGGGCTTCAGTTCCCAGTTTCTACTTAGTACTGAGTTCCCTCTTTCCATGGGGAGACTTTAATGGGCACAAGAACCAGCAGAAGTTTGGAATCTCTCATTCTGCAGTGCCAGGAGATGTGCTGGGGAAGATGCACTGTCCCTGATGCCTGGGGCCACCCTTTTGGGAAGGGGCTTCCCACACACGGGATTTACAGAGCTCTTTTTGCCCACTGAACGTGAGGAAACGGGTGACAGAACTTGGTGAATGTGATGCCCATCGCAGGGCAGAGGACGCTGCGTGCTGCTCCCTGCTCTCATGGCTGTTTTGCTGGGTGGGATGAGACCTGCTCTGCTTTGGGGTAGGCTGTGCTGAAGAGCTCCCTGAATAGCAGGAGCAGACATGCTTGGATTGAGAGCTAATGGCTAAAATGAGCAGAGAGAGGCTGGCCCATCTGGAAGAGCCTCTCTGCTCTTTGTCATGGAAATGACATTGCATCCTGTGGGCAGCTGTGTTTCAGGCACACAGAAAGATGATAAGAAAGGTCCAGGACAATCCATTTTCTCCCTGCTTAGCTGAGGAGGTCAGAGTGGGAGCCAGCAGGCTCCTTCATCTTACTGTGTCCTCCCTTTGTTCTTCTGAGGGGACCCAGATGCCCACAGCAGGAAAGATTAATATATATTTTAATGCTTGTTTTAAAATGGATAATATACACACTTCTAATGCCTACTTTATGAGGGAGGTTGGTGATGGCCAGTGCAGCTTCAGCTGTCAGAAAGGGTGGATCTGGGCTTCTGACTGGCATCATGGCTGTTTTCTTAGCCCCTGCCCCTGTTCTTCCCACCATAACTGCCTCCATTGCAGGAGCTCTGCATTGGTGATACGGTGCCTCAACTGCTTCCCAGCCCACTTTGTCTGCCTGGCCCGAGGCGAGGCTGCAGCATCCACACACACCAGCCCTGCTCCTGCCTGCTCCCCGCTGGAGCCTGCTTTGTGGGACAAACTTCTGCTCGCTCAGTGTTAGGAAGCAATGAACGTTGTACAAATGGGAGGCAGGTTGTGTGAGGGAGGAAGTCAAGTTGCTAATGGTGTTGCTCTTGGGAGGGAGGAGGGAATACCAGAACGGGGAGGCACAGGCAGCCTTTCAGTTGCTGTTAGCTACTGAGGCTTATCTAGATGGAATAACTGGATTGCCTTAACTGCTGGAGCTTGAGTGGCAGCAGAGAGGAAAACAAACCCTTGTAAGCTTCTGTGGCACCGGGATGGGGCTGTCTGACTCCTCCATCCCCTGCACATTGACCTGTGCTCATTCTTTACCTGGTCCTGCAGCAGCTCAGCAGCGTTGACCTGTGCAGTGGGGTTCTTGTTGCCCTTTTCCCACTCACTGCTGCTTTTCCTGTGTGCATTTCCTTTGGCTGCTTACTCAGGATCTCATTTACTGCAGGTGTTCCCTCAGCCTCACAGAGGATAAAGGGAATAACTGGAAATGTGGTAATTTCTTTAATGACCTTTAGTTTTGTGAAACCTCTTTCCTAGGCTGCTACTTCAGAGCACTTTATAAAATCATCGAATCCCAGCCTGGTTTGTGTTGAAGGGACCTTAAAGCTCCTCCAGCTCCAACCCCTGCCCCGGGCAGGGACACCTTCCACTAGAGCAGGTTGCTCCAAGCCCCTGTGTCCAACCTGGCCTTGAACACTGCCAGGGATGGGGCAGCCACAGCTTCTCTGGGCACCCTGTGCCAGCGCCTCAGCACCCTCACAGGGAAGAGCTTCTGCCCCAGAGCTCATCTCAGTCTCCCCTCTGGCAGGTTCAAGCCATTCCCCTTGTCCTGTCCCTCCATCCCTTGTCCAAAGCCCCTCTCCAGGTTTCCTGGAGCCCTTTTAGGCCCTGGAGCTGCTCTAAGGTGTCCCCTTGAGGAGCCTTCTCTTCTCCAGCTGCCCCAGCCCAGCTCTGGTTCTGTGGAGGCAGCAGGAGCTGGTTGCAGGACAGACATTTCTACTTCCATAGAGGTTCTCAGAGGTGGAGAGTGCAAAGCTTTCCTTATGGCTACTAACGCATGTGAACGTGTAACTGCTGGCTCGTAACCCACCTCCCCTCCCAAGGCCAGGGCCCATCCCTCCCGCTCGCGGCTGGGAAGTACTTTGCCAATGGCCATTCTCCAAGGGCACACAATGATCCTTTTGGAAACAATGGCAATGCAGAGCTCACTCCCCTGCGGTGGCTTTCTCCCAGCACAGATACACCGATCCTGGGTTGTTTTGCCATGTTCTTCCTGACATATTTTCCAGCTTTTTGGCAGTCATTCCTCCCACAGAATCCTGCGTATGTTCTTTGTTGCCTGTCTCTGGTGATGCCAGCTTAGACCTGCGGAACTCATGGCCAAAGCAGACTATTCTGCTTAAGCACCTGTGTACTGTGGGTTCTTACATCCTCTTGGGCTGAGGATAGAAAAGCAAATTCCCTGCTGCAGCACTAAGCCTGAGCAGGAGTGGTTTAGTTAACTTCGAGCGAGCACCGGTGCTGGCTCTGTGGGACCGATGGGCACAAGGGGTGCTCACAGCATCCTTCCCCCCATCCATGCAGGGTTTCCAGCAGGACCCACCTGCTTCTCTGAGCCAATACATTTGTCTCCTTGATCTGTATGATGTGCAGTGGCATTTAATGATGGCTCTTGAGAAGGCAGGCCTGGCCTTGAGAGGGGAGGAGTGGGGAGGGATTCATCTCAGCCTTGGCTGCTCCCTGCTGCTGCCCTCCCTTCCCAAAGCCCCTTTGCAGCATAAAGCCCGGAGCTAGTTCCAGCCCTGGTGATGAGCAGCATCGCCTGCAGAGCACAGGGCAGAGGGGCAGGAGCCTGCCTGGGCTCTGAGCACAGCTGAGCCTGGTCTCTTTGAGCCCTTTGTGGGGTGTGCTTTGAGCTGGGCAGTGTTATATGGGATCCAGATACACTGGGCATCTCCAGCTGTGGGTGGCTGTAGCTTCTGGGAAGAGGAAGAGCGGCTCCATCCCTCCCTCTGTCTCTCTCTCCATCCATCCCTCCCTCCTTAGGGGCCGAGAGGGGTTCTTGGGAGCACATCTTCAGTGCCGAAGCTCCCCTGTGCACCCAATGGTCAAGCTCAGTGTTTGTTCTAGGGGCTGCAGGCAAGTGAATGCATCCAGGATGGGGGGGCTGAGGGTGAGGTTCCCCATAACCCCAGTACTGCTGAGCCCAGTTTCTCATCTCTCCACTCTCCAGTGGAGACCCTCAGGCCTGTTGCACTTGGAGTTGCTCTAGCTGATCTCCTGACGTTCTGCACAAAGGCAGAAGGAAGCCAGGAGATACTTAAGGCCAGACAGAGTGACCATGGAGAATGAACCTGCCGTCACGTAGATGAGGTGATTTCACGCAGCAGTTGCTGCTGTGAAGGGAATTCTCTTCTATAATGGATGTGAACCTTTGCAAACCTGCTCACTTACGGCTGATCTAGTGGATATCTTTCCTGGAAGACTTCCAGGCTTGTTTTGAAGGCTGTGATTGATGAGGATGCTTTTTGGCAAGCTGTTCTAACAATCAGTTGTGCCTTTTGCTAATCAGGTGCATGAAATCTTTGACTTCCAGTTTTCTAGCAGCGCTTCACAGCCATTGGAATACCAGAGGGAGCACATGACATTAACATCTCTAACCTCAGTGCTTGTGATTCCTTACCCCATGGACAGTCTCTCTCTCTTTTGGATACTTATCATTGTCAGGGGATAGAATTTGGGTTTGCCATATCTCCATTGGCTTGACTTCGAGGAGTCCAGCTCCGTGCAATGGGGTGTCACTGGGCTCCTCACTTGTATTAGGACTTGTGGTACTAGTTGCATTTAAAACCGGACAGAAGTACTCCAGGCTCTAGTAGCTGTCTAAAGTCTCTGGATACCTTTATTAATGAGCTGCGTGCTACTGGAGCCAGTAAATACCCATCATTACAGTCAGTACAGTCTGCTTACATTTGGTTTTCTTACAAAAATAGTGTACAACAAAGTTACTGCCCTGTTTGTGTGCAGTGATGGAGCTGGAGTAAAACAGTCACAGCAGAGGGTGTCCATGGTGCAGGTTTAGAGCAGATGGGATTTAGACCCCTCAGGCATCAGCTGAATGTGATCACTGCATTATCCTTGGGCAAACGTATGAGTGTCTCCTATTCAGGGCACAACAGTTCATCTGGCCTGGTTCAGACCTGTATAGCTGAGAGCTGAATTTAGCCCAGCCGCCCTAAAACCAGAAGCACCGTCTTCAGTTTGCGAGTTCAGTAGTATCAGGTAGAAGATTATTTTATGACTAAGTCAGAACTGTGAAGCTTCTCCCGTGTGGGAGGCTCCAAACACTCCACCTTTGTGACACACTCCTTACAGCACCCTTGTCAAGCTGGCTTTTACTACTGACAAGTAGGATGGACCCTCTGAACTGAGGTGCTGAGAACAACTTTCTTCCCCACCCCAGCTCATCCCTGTAAGTCAATCTCTACAGCAGACACTCAGAGCAATTAAATGCAGGGGATTGTTAATGAGACAGGAAACTGATTTGCAGCTTCATGCAATAGTGCCAAGCCAGGAAACCTCTGAAGATGTTGAAATCGGTTTCTCTCCCCTGGCTCTGAACACCTTTTAACCCCTGTGCTGCCCTTGAGGAAGCTCGAGCTGGCTTTCCAGTCAACTGCTTCCACCTCTTTTTCTCCCGTTGGTGCCTCTGGCTGGGCTTTGTATGTAGGGTTTTATATATAGGGACCTCTTGAAAGGAATTAGCTGTGTCCACAGGCATGGCAGCCCCTTGGGACAGCAGCAAGTCCTGTATCAGACTTCTTCAGCATGAGGGTTTCTGTCGTGGTCCCCCCTGCAGGTGCAGGCAGGGGCAGACCTGGCTGGGCCCCTCCAGCCACACTCCAGAGCTCCACAGGTCCACTTGGTTTATGCCTCCTGAATATTGTCATCATGGCTGCTGCTAGTGCTGCATATTGACCAGGTAACTCTTGCCCAAGCCCTAATGTCCTTTGCTTTTGAGCTAACACTGAGTTTTCCTTTCATCCCATGTTTTGGGGGAGAAAGGCTGAAGCCCAGTGAGATGGGGGCGATAACAGAAATGCTGAATGAACCACAGGGAGTATTTGCCACATGAAGCTTCCAAACATCAGTAAAAACATCTTAAAATCTTCAAGATCATAAATAATACAAAAGTAGAATGGAGACGTAGCTGTTGTCCCGCTGGAAGAAGTGGTTCTGCCTGATGGAGGGGGGAGTTCATGGAGAGCTGCCGAGGGACCTGGAGGAGGCTCAGGCCAGGCGCTGGGGGCTGGTCCCCTGCCTTCACTGCCTGCCTCAGGCCTGGCTCAGCCGGAGGA